CGACGGTTTTGCCTCGTGTGTCAAAGGATTTCAGCTGAAGACCGTCACGTCTTTTCTCTCCCGCAGCCTCAGGAGCCTCTGCTTTGACACGCTGCCATTTTCTTCACAAACAGGCAAAAAGATGAGGACCGACTCGAATGCTTGCCAGTCAGTGCTCCTGGAGTTTGGCCACCACTCGTTTGGGCTACAAGACGGCCCCTCGTAGTGGGCTGCATGCAGTGGTGTCCAAAGGTGCCCAGATGCAACACTGTGTATGAGAGACTGTTTTCTGGCAACCGCAGGGGCCAGACTAATCCAGCTCCAGCGTTTAGTCCCGTGAAGCAGCTGGAGGCGTGTAAGCTGTTAACAGGTTAAGGTGAAAATGTTCTCTGGCAGGTTCACTCGTCCTCCTTCACACTTTATACCCAACAGCAGCTCACAGCACACCTCCTCCAAGTGACACGTCCAACCTGGCAACCGCCCCTGCAGCACACACACACACACACACTTCTTCTACACATGCACGATCGAACGGAATTACACACAACCACCGCACTATGAAAGCTCTGATGGAGAAGAAGCAGAAGAAACAAGCAGAGATCTGCATTTCTGTGGGAAAAAAAGACACTTGGAACGTGTAATTTCTAATAACCTTTTMGTCCCAAATCAGTTTGTAATGATTAATTAAAATGTAGCATCCAAACCAAATTAAACCACAAGCAAAATGTTTGGTGTCAGGATCTCAGCACACTGCAAAAAATCAGACACAAACTGCACATTAATGTATTTGGCAATCAGAAAGAAGCCCTAATGCTTAATCTGATAACAGCAGCCAAAAAGCTAACCATCATAGAGAGRGCTGTGTCAGGAAAAAGACAAAAGTTGGCTTATAACAACCAATCACATCGCTCCACTCAGCAACAATATTGCATTTTCATGATTTACTATTGTGTCACTCGTTTTTTTAATAATATATGAGAAAAATCAACTAAGTAAACTTGTGTACACCTTGAGTTTGTTGATTGTGAACGGGTTGAAGACCATATTATTTAATTCAGTTTGTTATCTCAGGGCGCTGTACACATTATAAAGTACCTACTAGGAGAAATTATCTATCAAAAGAGCATCAATTCTTCACTCAGTGACAATCTCCCATCCTGAGGATTGCTAACAATAGAAAGGAAAAACTCCCTTTTAACTGGAAGAAACCTGGGATTACAAACATTTGGTCATCTCTTCACGTGCACATCTTTGTAGAGGTCAAAGTCTTTCATTAGCTTCAACTCCTGCTAGAGTTGTTGCTTGTCAGCTGGTTCATCTAAACATAAATGAAGCACAAAATGTAAATAATTTTGTGTTTAAGTATTTATTTAGTGCAACAATGCATAAGCAATAATCCTTGGAGACCCATGGAAAAGGCTCTTGTTGATTTCCCCTTCAATGACGCTACATTTGTTAGGAAAATGTATTGATTTAATTTGTGAATTTTACTCGTAAAAACTTACTAAATCCTCTCTGCCGATGCTAAAAACCCTATTCTGCTATATCCTTGTCTGGTGTTATTATTTGAATTAAATTATTGAGTTTTGAAAAAACAAGCCATGTTGGCAAATGTATTTAACAAACAGGAGCCTCATTCGCATGTGGAAGAACCATACACAGCCACAACACCCCTTGATGGTGATAACCAGCCTGGTTACTGCAGTAGGACGGCATCCCATTCTTTAACCAGTATTTGTCACAAGTCTGGTCACTCTGGAACAAACAGAAAGCTCAAGCTGATCTCACAGAGGTTCAAATGGGTTAACGTCAGAGTTTAGACTTCTAAAGTAAATCATGTGCTGTGTAATTTACACCTGGTTTTCCCACAGTCACAGTTCTCATCCTGCTGTTTTATTGTGTTTTATGCAGTTTTTGTTTTACAGTTCTTTGTTCTGGTCCTGATTCCTTTGGGTGCTATAACAACTCACCACTGTTTGTGACAATGTAAAATGAAACAGAGCCTAAACTCACCTGTGTTTGTCACCTTAGTATGCTCCATGCGTGTGTGTACATGTTTTTGCTACCTGCTGGGGACGATTCTTGACCATCTTCCCAGTACACGCAGCCTGGTGAGGACCCACTGTTKCTTATGAGGACAGAAGCTCGGTGCTCTTTGAGGGAAACACCATTGGTAGGTCAGGTAAGACCGGTAAATGAATGAAAGTCAATGCAAAGTCCCCATGAGGATAGAAGAACTGTGTGTGTGAGACGTTGGGCCTGCAGCCATGGAGCTTACAGAGCTCTCCAAAGCAAAAYCTTTTGACAACATGGAGTGACAACAGGAAAGAAACGTGCAGCAGAAGTAGGGCAGCCTCACAGGGAGGCTTGTCTTCCTTCACAAATTTACAAATCTACAGGACTCAGCCTGACTTTTCATTCCTCCAGGACTTTAACTTTCCACTCTGATGGAGGAAACAGTGAAAGGTGTTTGTTTCCAATGCACCGTATCGGACACACGATTGGGCCCGGTGTTGCTGCTCCCAGCACAGACCTCACAACCTGCTCGTTCTTGTGTTTCTGTGCAGTTGTTGACGTGCTGGAAGCGGAAGGCATCAACAAACCCATCAGCGAGGAGTGGCGGGGTAATAAAAAGGCCCTGATGAAAACTTAATGGGCCCTTCACCTTTATTAATGGCTGTGGGATCGGGATCGCGTGCACCGCGTTCGCTGGCGTAATAACAGGAGTCGCAAGGCGCCGAAGAGCCGCTCCATCAACCTCAGCCTCCACTAACACACTCAGCAAGGAGCTCGTAACGGGGAGGGGACTAATTAACAAACTGACACGGAGCTAAATGATTAACTGACCCCCGATTTTAGCCAAATGGGCCTTAAACAGGATATTAAGCCGAACTCCAGCAAAGGACGTTAAGTGGTTAATTAATAAACACCAATCAGGCAGAACATGAAAATCATTGAGTGATGAAAACAGCATTGATTATGCTGATAGACTGACACAGGTCCACAGCAGAGCCCACAACACAACACTGGGATAGGATGGAAAATATTGCACAATTGTTGTCTCATTAGATTAATTAGTTAATATGCAGTCTCTGTGAAAATATAATAAACCCTCTATGAATTTATGTTGAAAGTTCATATATTAAGCTTCAAAAAAWATATATAATGATTTAAAAAATCAATAATTAAAGCTCGGGTGAATAAAATCACACTCATCTTATCAGTYAAAACTGAGCCAAAAAGTTCAAGGAGTTCTTGGAGAGGATTTTATTAGAACCCATCAATCTAAAGGGTTTTCAGGCTGTTGTATATTTGTAGTTCACCGTTCTGCAGAGAGGACTTTAATTCACAAATAGAAAACAAGACAAGACTGAACATTTTGGCCTGATCACCCCGAGGTCAGACCATGCAATGCTCAGAGAAAGTGGAAAACTAACATCTATGCCGCAGACTCAACAATCCTCATGCTGCTCATCTGGAAGGGTTGAAATAAAAAAAATATGAAAGCAAGAATAAGATGTTTTTTTCTGGGGTTTTTTTGGTGGGGGGGAAGGTTGATTATAAACTAGATTTTTAGATTAATTTTGGAAGTTTTCAAGAAAAAAAGGGGACATGGTTAGAAGATATTTAAATATCTAAAATTAAGTGTTTATCTAGCAGAGTTGCGGCTTTTGGAGCTTAGAGAACATCTTTTTTATGTCTGAATTTGGCAGAGATTTACTCTTTATTTTCTCTATCTATGGTCCTAATACGCTGTTGAAGTTAACAAACCAATTAGCTTCTGCTATTAGGTCACTTTAAGTCTGCTAACAGCCTGTTTGCATTAACTTCCTCTATTACTTTATTTGTTTAGCGAGTCGTGACGCTATGTTTTTAGTGGATTATGACTTGGCAAACATTTTGGTCAGCTATGCCTAGTACTATTTATAAAGTACGGCACAGAAACGCCTCACACCAAGTTTAAGGCATGGCGGTGGAGAGTTGATGATCTGGGGTTGTTTTGCAACAACAGGACCTGATCTAAACGAACTCTTATGTGAAACCAATTATTCTAGAGTCAAATCCTTTTTTCGTGACTAAAGCCATAAAACAAACATCCTAAAAGAGTCTGCTGGTACCAGATATCTTAGGTCACCTTCTTCACTTAGCTGACATCCCATGCATGTCACATCAGAGCAGTTTTGGCTAATAAGATATAAAAACCAACAGGTTGTAATTAGTCTTTGCAGCAGCAGAACAATCTAAATAAAAACACCTGTAAATTGAAGCTGAGTGGCATTCGTCCATTCCTATTTGTAGATGTTTGTGCTATATGCTCACCAACAGCACATGTTAACAGCACTCTTTGAAATGCTAATTTCACCTTCATGCATAAATCATAACGCCAGAGATGGCTGGCATGCTGCTGATTTGTAGTAGTGGTGAAGGTGAAGGGGGGGTAAGATGGGCAGAAACAACCTGGAGTTGGTAACAGCATTATCCCAAAATGAGTRGGGGCCGTGACCCTGCAGGGTTTTTGACATCCTTTAGGAAGACACGTCCCAAACTAGTCTTAAAGTTAAAGCCGTATGTCAAAAAGGAAACAATTTGACCATCCCATCTGTAAGAATGCTTATTTTACACCTTTCACCTGCAGATGGGAGGAAAGTGACTTGACTGCAGCCTGGTGCCACATCCACAGCTTGGATTAGTGTCTGAGCTGCATGTTGGGCTTCCCCACTCTGCATGATCAATGATTTATATCTGCTGCCTGAAATGACTGAAAGACTTCCTTTCATARCCCCAAAGTGGCTCAGTGGACTGTGGCACATCCTGGTGAGCGCTGTCAGGTCACCTTCTCACTGAAATCTGTAGGAKGGATCATTGAAACCTGGATTTTTTATCACATCATCTTTCTTAGTTTAAATTAAGTCATATTTTTTTATTATCAGCTGTTTTCATTTTAACATGTTCATACTTTGCCCTGCATCCTGCCATGTGTGTGTGTGTGTGTGTGTGAGAGTGTGTGTGTGTGCTCCTACCTGCCAGGAACTGGAAGGGATCTCAGCAAATTTGCCCAGACCCCCGAAGGTGTAGCACCGGTACATGTGATCCAGAGACTCCGAGCAGTGCCACAGCAAGCCGAAGCTGACCGAGTCCTTGCTGTCGGTGTGAGGATGATGATGGTGYTGATGCTGCTGCTGGCTGGTCCTCAGCTGGTCCTTCACAATCCAGGCAGGGGATATGAAGCTGAAACTGCAGACGGCGACCAGCACGGAGGACAGGAGCACCCAGAAGCAGCCCACACAGCTGAACATGGTGATGGCAGCCTGGGGCAGAAAGCCCGGAGACAGACCGAGAAGATCGATCCCGAACCCGTRTTCTTCTTCTTCTGCTTCTTCTTTCTTTTCCCGGCTCAGGAGGYGCGAATGCATTTGGAGCTCACGCCCTCAGGTGCGCGACTTCAACTTCAGCCTCCTGCCCAGCACTACATGAGCCGAGGGCCGGGATCCGGTCAGAGCGCATCTGCAGCTGCAGCTGTGTGAGTCCAGGTCCCCGGAACATCTGGTCTGAGAGGGAACCTAACCAGTCACAGCCCGGAGAGAGGACACGGTACGCGCTCAGGCTGATCCCAGTGAGACAGTCGGGATGTTTTCCACACCCAAAAATAAAAAAATAAACTGGACGCGCAGTTGTCACAGAAGCGAACGTGAAGGAACAGATATAATAAAAYCCCAAATAAGAAACCAGAATAAATGCTGGATCTGATACTGGAACCAGAGCCCCGCGGGATGTCTCCTCCTCTTCAGCACCGACAGCAGAGTTTGACTCCAGTCTGCGCTTCGCTGTCACAAGCCCTCCTGTCAAGCTGGAGCAGGCTGACAAACACATGGAAGAGATTTTCAAAGTAAAACCTCGACTGACAAATTGCAGCACTTCATATTTATGAGTAGCTGCGGGTTTTAACACAAAAACAAGATGCAAAAAGTTATTTTCTTCCCTTGGTTGAATGTGGAAAATGGTTTGGCACTGATAGTGTTTTTGCAGACACAAAAAGGTACACATATACTACGTATTGTGAATTTAGTGAAACATAAAATACTGCAATACCAGCAGCTTTCATTTAAATATTAAAATTATAAAGCGGTCCCGCCTGGTGTTCCATTGATCAGATTTAGCTTTTATTTTGAAGGGAAATATCACATTTCCGGTATTTTGCTAATTGAAATTGACTTTGCAGCAGGTWCCTTTTAACTACTTTGCTAATATATTTGCAAAATACTAAAACACAGCTTCCYCATGACACATAATACTACACAAACAAAAAAAATTTAATTCCATAGCATTTCCGGTGAAWATTAGCAATAAACAAATGCATAAGAGTAGTTACTGAACAAATGTGGGCGTCACCGCTGCACGTGGAGGTAACTGATGCGTTCAATGGCATCATGTTAAAAGTAGCACTAAGAATAAACTTAATATATCCACTCCTGTGAAGCATTTTGTAATTCCATCCTCAAGAAAACGTACACATCTTTATTAAACTAAAATGAAACCCATATACTTGGAGAAAACACTTAGGAAAAATAGAATAAGCTGTATTAAAGCTGTACTTTGGTATGAATTTTGCAAATCATGAATTTTTCTAGGCCTGGTAAAACAGTAGGTAAAACAATAAGGTAAAATTTGAGAAGTATGCTTTTATCAATACTTTTTTTTTCTGGTGTAGCAACATAATCAACACTGCCCCCTCGTGGTTATAATAATAACAACCKATCTTCCTCAGTTGGCCCAGGGTTCTTCATTTCTTCTATTTTTACCATTATGTAAAAACATATTTAATTTAAACACAATGTATTTTGTATCAAAAACACTACAGACTGCATTAAATGAAAACTGTAACTGTAGAGCACAAATACAGGTGGAGCATCCCAGATAAAATGAAAATGAAGAAACACAGCATTTTGTAATAACTGTTTTTAAATCAAACACATTTTTAAATATATTATAGATCAAGAACACGTACATGTCAGAAAACATTAGAGGTACATGGTACCAAAAGTT